AAATGCACCCTCCTCCAGGGAGCCCTCCTTCTAGCCATAGAAGGTGAGGAGAGAGGTTCGAGTCGGCCATGTATGGAGCACGTGACCTGGGGGCAAATCACCTGTCTCCTCTGTGTCACGGAAATAAGACCTTGTCTTGCTCCCTTGCAGGTTGCAGTTCTTGTTGAGCTCTGGTGACACAGGGTGAGCAGTGTGAGTGAGAGTGGATGAGGCCCCAGGGGGTTCTGCGCAGAGGCCATGTGTCCTTTCCAGGGAAAGAGAAAGAAGGAACGGTAGCAATCTATGTCCCCGCAGACTTGGGCCCAGGGTCTGACACCGCTGGAGTCTGCTGCCTCCCTGGGCGCCTGGGAAACGTTCTTCCCGTGATGTCGGTGGGAGAAAGAGGTAGGAAGAGACTGCTAGTCACGTGGAGCCTGGCCCTTGCAGGAACGCTTCCTGAAGCCAGGAGACAATCGGGGGTCAAGAAGCCCAAACCCCAACACCCTCTCTGTGGACATAAAACCCCAAAGACAGGCGATTGGTATGCAGACGACTGTCGAAGTGAGGAAACCATGTGCGGCACACGTTACTGTAAATATTTACCAGGCCCTTTCTACGTGCCAAGCACTGTGCCTGGTGCTGGTCAGCCTCGTCGTTTCCTAGGGCTGCAGAAACAAAGGGCCAACCAGCAGCACCGTTTACAGCAGCAAAAACCTGGGGAGCACCCACATGGCTCTCCACAGGAAAACAGGCGAACACGCGCTGCTAATGTGCATCACTTCACAGCAGACAGAATGAACTCCAGTTCAGTGTATCCACAGGGGTGAATTTTCCAACCTCAAGCTCGAACAAATGAACGGGGGAAAAGCAGAAAGCTTGCGTGTGTGTCCAGTGGACCACAAAGATGTGAGGTTAACCACGGGTTGTTTAGGGATTCGTACAGGTGTGGTGACGTTCCACAGACAGGACAGGCCGGGGATGACACCCCAAAAGGAGAAGCGTGTTCTCGTCGGTGGAGAGAGGAAGGGCCGAGATGGCGGAGGGGCCCGCAGCGGCTTCCAATGTGCAGCCCCCCGGTTCTGAAAATGTGCGGGGTGCTCGTTTTGTAATGCTTCCAAC